CTCACCTCTGATCACTGCTCAGCCCTAGAGTGGGGGTGGGGGTGTCACAGCAAAACCACAGGAGAGACGTCCCTGCCCTAGGTGCTGCACACTGTTCATTCCCAGGGAATAGCCCCGGCCTTGTGCCCGTGTAGTCATTTCCCTCATGGCCACGGGTGGTACATCATACTCACCGTCAGCAGGTGAGGGACGGGAAGTAGGCACAGGAAGAGTGAGATGTTGATTCTTCCCTTCCATACTATTAGACTACATTTAGTGTTCATAACTATGACTCTCAAGGCAATACAAGATCTGGATAATCAAAGAAGGACTGAAACCCATTCAGCGGTTGTAACGAAAACACATTTTAGAAAGAGGCTTTAAATAAGTGTTGAAATAAACAAAATCCTTTCTACTTTCAGCTTCAGCATTCTCATAATTGAGATTTCTGGGAATTTGACATCCTTGTCACAGTGTCAAGAACACACGCTTTTTCAGTGGGGAAAGGATGACAATAAAAAAGGAGGAACAAAACCAAATGTTGCATTCACCCATGTTCTTTAGAAAATTACTTTCTTTATAAAGTTAATTTTCCAGTTAATGGAAGACTGTCCTTTAAATTCTTAGCAGGGATTGCTAGTTCCTCCCAAATATCCATGCCCCTTTCTTCATTAATTAATGAGATCCCTGAATTTAGCTCATCACTTTGTCACTCAGCACTACATTTTCTCACCTCCTATGGAGCAGTGTGGCCAAGTGACTCAGTGATTTCTGGCCAGTGAGTTCAAGTGTGAGGGTTGTGTGCAATTTTGAAGCTTTCATCCTTAAAGAGGAACAATGGGTCCTCCACTACCTCTGTCCCCATTCTGCTGGCTGGACCAGTCGGCTTTGCGACCTGGAGGAGCCATCTTAGAGCGTGAAGTACAGACTGTATCTTACGGGAGCACGGCTGTGGTCACCTCAGTCGTGCGACCCCATGGACTCTAGCCCGCCTGGCTCCCCTGTCCATGGGATTTTCCGGGCAAGAACACTGGAGTGGGTTGCTGTGCACTCCTTCAGAGGATCTTCCTGAAACAGGAATCAAACCCGTGTCTATTACGTCTCCTGCATTGGCAGGTGGGTTCTTTACCTCTAGCGCCCCTTGGGAAGCCCATTAGGATAGCGAAGCAACCATATAACAGAAGCCTGGGTCCTCAACACCGTGGAAGCATCAGATCAGCCCCGGATGGTCTTCCCAGACGGTAACGTGAGAGAGAAATTAGTTTCTATCACCCTTGAGCCACTGTTCCTCAATCTTTGTTACAGCAGTTGAATTTGTTTTTAATATTTCAGGGATGATGTTCTTTCTACACGTTACACTTTTCTCAGCTTGTTAAACAGAACAAAGTAATCTACTCTTTTTTGAATCATGAAATATAAATATTACTCTGAACAATAATGCAAAGAGACTACTGAGAGTCTAGAGTGCTCCTGACCTGACAGTTATGTGGCCTCAGACTGCAGGGCGTGATTAATTCCTGCCTAATTCCTGCCCCTTTTCTGACTCCTCTCACTATGTAACTACCAAGGATATAAAGAAATACATATATATATAGTGCTTAGGCTCAGAGACTCAAATGTAGAAGTGTTCAGTGTTACTTATGACTATTATTGCTATTAGTATTGATTACTGTTATTGTGTATTGGGGACAAATGGCTATCCTAAAAACCCATCACTTTTTTCTCCTGCTTAAATTATAAAGACACAGAAGCTGAAAATTCTGCTATTTGGAACCATTAGAATCAGCTATGTCTACCGAATGGAAGCTAGTGTTTGTCCCTGGAGCAGATCCTCTCTCTTTATCTTTTTAAAAAGACCTCGATGGTCTCCTTGGTCATGAAGTGTAAGGAAAGTCTACCTGTTGGCCTTGGGGAGTCTCTGAACTGACAACCTAAATCAACAGCAGATTCTTCAAACTGACATGTAAATGTTCTATTTGATAACGAGGAAGGTTGTTTTCATGGCTCTTAAGGAGAAATTGTGTTAAGAGGTTTTTCCTTCCTTTGACTCGGATGAGAAGGGGGCAATAAGGCCATAAATGATGCTCTCACAGTAGTGAGCATGCCCCAGCAAAGTGGCTGCAGACCTAGGCCGAGACATAGCCAGATGGGCCCTGGAAGGAGGGCTGACCCATGAACCCTGCAGCACTGACATCTGACCGCTAGTTAGACTCTTCCTTTTCTGCCTATAATTTGCTCATGTTATTCTCAAGACACAGAGAGAGGGTTAAATGTCACAGCCTGCGTTCAGCTGTGCTTGAGTCTCAAAGGGAGAGGCTTGTCCTCATACTTGGACCTGAGAGATTTTCCATGTATGCTGGGACACAGAGGTGATTGACCAAGCTGCTTGGGACAGCACTAGGCAGGAAGTGGCAAATGTCAGTGAGTACAAACCGGGGATACAGTCGCTGACAAGGCCTCCTCAGAATCTCCTGGGGAAAAGCCTGTCAAAGGCTCAACATTTGTCATTTTATGATGATAATATTGCTAACATAAATATATCATGAGAATGTACTGATATAATAAGTTATATTATTTATGATTTTATAACATTGATAATATTATTGTTCTAAATTATTAATATGAAATCATATAATTATACTTTCAGTATCCAGCTGTGTATGCTATCTTCCCCAAATATCTTCCCCTTTAAATCGAAGGCTATTAAACTGCGATAATCAAGCTTGTAAGAAATACGTCTACAACAAAGGTAAACAGACTCTGAGGGAGGGTTTGGAAGCATTTTCTTAGTAATAAAGTACAAGATCTTTAAGGATAGATCAAGTAATCTTATTTCACTTGCTCAGGAGTTTTTATTTTTAACAACTCTGCCTCCTCAACTGTATCCCAGATAGTTAAAATTGCCCAAATGAGTGGCCATTTGGTAAACGAAATCAAACCGTACAGTTTCCTTGTTGACTTCTCCACAATTAAAACCACTTTGTTAATGGTAAAATGGGGCTTCAGGGTCTAAGAAATTGCCAAAATAAAATCGGAGAGATTTAACAAGTTGTTAACTTTATTTTGCCAAGTAAGGATGTTATTTTTTTAAGATTACCAAACCTTTGCAACATACAGGACTTTATAAACTTTTAACAACAAAATAGAAAGAAGCAGATATTTCAGAATAAAAGATGTTCCTTTAGTCTGTGAAAACTTAGATATTTTTCTCCTGTCACCATCAACAGGTCAGGACTTCATGCAGACTGGCACCTGGTTTGGAGCTGTTTTCCTAGAACATGAAGCCCATGGCTTGGGGAGACATCTGGGAGCTGCTGGCCTGAAGTAATTCCCACAATTCCCTCAAATATATGGGAGATGGACTAAAGGAAGAGTGGTGGCCTGTTATTCCCAAAAAAGAGACCTTATAAGGCATGGGAGTAAGATCCACCTGCTGTGTGTCAGCTAAGTGTTCCCAAAACTTTCTTCCTGCCCTGAGTTGTCTCTGAGCATTGGGAGCACTGAAAACTGCCCTTTTCAAGAGATGGGAAAACTGCAAAGTTGGGCTCATTCCACGGAGTGAATTTCCACTTTTCCTGGCCACAGAAATGCTGTGTCTGTCGGTAATTTTCATTCTTAGGTCAAAGCTCCCAGGGGAGCAGGAGAAAGGGCAAATAGGAGAGAAAAGTTTTCTGTGTGTTTCTTCAGCTCCTAGATTCACTCCCTGGCTTTAGCATGCAGAAGGGCTGCCCTGTTCCAGTCTTCCAGAAGCCATTTCCAGACCCCAGCAACTGTACAGGTAGCTGAGCAGAGAGACCTGCCCTGGGCCAGCTTCAGAGAGACAGTTCTGGAACCGGTGTGTCCATGAGAAAAAGGAAGCTCTCTTTGTTAGGAAAAGAACCAGTGATGGAAGACTTTGCTGCAAGAGCTGGCCGAGTAAAAACTTCTTTTACTAAAACCAGTGACCCCCCCAAAAAAACTTTGAGTCACCTTCCCGCTACCCCACTGCATCTATTTCCCAGCAGTTGGAAGAACTATGGAGAGCCAAAGGGACAGAGGTTGAATTCATGACCGATCCTTCTGGAAGCTTTGTCTTTCTGCTGACCAGAAATAATTTCCATACATTTTCCTAAATATATGAGAGTTAATTGCCAATTTGCATCTTGGTTTGAGTATTCAGATCTCAAGGTGAAAACATAAGCCCTTTATTTCAGGAAAAATAGACAAAGGAAAACGTCTGAAGCTCATTTTCTAATGCCCAAAAGGCTCATGGAAAACAACTCAGTGGTCTTTCTTCTCTAGCAGACTCTTCAAAAACATCTTGGAGGAGAAGCACTCCCTCGGGTTTGAGTTGTTTTATGTGATTTCAGTTACATCAGAGAATTTATTCTCCACCCCCTCAAGCCTCGCCAAATCATTAATTCTTGAAAGAGTAACAGGACTTTCATTTCACTTGATGTGCCTCCTTGTAGCCAAACTTGACGTCAGCACCTTTTGTAAGCAGGAAACTATGAATTAACACCCTGAATTTTCATGATGAGTCCCCTTATTGAGGCTCTGTTAGGGAAAATTCTTCACATCCTTTGACACTAGCTTGCTCGCATTATTAATTTAAATGTCTCAGGAACATCATCTGCTTCTACTAAAATTAATGACAAATGAGTTCTGGAAAGTGGCTTCCAGAGCCGCCCTCATAAGAACAGTCAGGGGAAAGCTCAGTGTCTGAAACGCTAATTGAGATGCGAAGCTTAATAACGTGTGTTTAGCTATGACCCTAAAATCTGCTCGCCTTACAACTTTCCCCATCTGGTGTAATTTGCTTTCTCTACTTGTAAAAATGCACACGACAGCAACAGCATGTATTGTGTGCCATGTTGCAACAATGAAGCCTTGTCTGTCACATTCTTCATCAAGAGAAACTTATTTCTCACCCTGTGTTTACCCAACTTCCAACCTTTCATTACACTTTGCGTTGGAGGTCTGCCCAAGCACCATGCCCCGGCCCAATCCCACTTTGGAGAAAGGAGATGATGGAGCCATACCTTGTACCCGGGTTTCCGCCCTCTTTTCTTTGGGATCTTCACTGCTGGTAAAGAACCAGCTGAAGCAGAATAAATGTTATGAACTGCCATCTTCATAGGTGTCGAGTGAAGTGGGGGTCGGCCTCGCTTTCTCCCCGGGATCCTCTGAGACTGCATTTCTGCTGGTGCCAGTCTTACAGAAGGAAGTGACAAATCGCTCACAGGCAGAAGAGGTGCTAAGAATTAGTCCAGACACAAAGCAAAACAAAAACAGAAGTGTTTGTTTGGTTTGCAAGGCAAACATGGATCCGGTTTGGTGATTTTGGCCATACCTACCCCTTAAGGGAGGGGAAGACCAAATAGGAGAGAGCCAGGCATTAGTTGGAGCTTTTAAAGTGCTTTTGGGCTCCTGGTATAATTTCAAGGATAGTGAATTTCCATGGGACTATAGTGAAGTAGGGAGGATACTGGCTAGGTGAAGAGGACAACAGATTCCCAGCAACCAGTACAACCAATAGTGTCATCAGCAAGGAGACACTTTTATCTATATGCCTCAACTTCCCAGTTAGTTCAACTTTGAACTGAAATAATAATAGCATTAAATAAACACAACCAGTCTTTCTCACATTCACTCCTAACCCTTTGACTGGGTAACAAATAGTTATACATTTTTTCCCCCATGAAATAAAGTTAATAGTAGAAATCAATTGTATTAAAATTGATTATGTTCCTCAATCAAAATGTGGACAGAGATTTGCATACAGAGGTGTTCATTTTTACATGATCCAGCTTCCAAACTCTCAAAAATAAAATGAATAGAGCCCAATAACAAGCAATGGAGGAATGGTTAATACATCTACAGAATAACACAATCAGCTAGATACAAGCCTTTAACAATACTCTTTTTAATAACATGAAGTTGAGTGAACAAACTGCAGGTAAAAGTTATCTCAACTATGCAAAATTTTATGTGGTGATAAAGTGGAAGGAAATATGCTAAAATGTGGCCAATAGCAAAGATGGTGGGACTATGGGTAACTGTTCACCATGTACAAATCCTTTCCCCCTTGTACTACTATGCTCAGCATTAAAAATACTTAAAATAAGTGCTCCAACCAGGGATTGAACCCACACCCCTGCTTTGGAAGGCAAAGTCTTAACCATTGGCCCACCAGAGAAGTTCTACAAAACTCCTCTTGGTGAATAGGTTTTGAAGATTAAAGACAGGGTAATAAACAATTAGTACTTTACCCTAAGAATTCGTATTACTCAAAATTACACTTAACTATCCCCAAATTTCTCAATATGCCAGAAATAACTTCCTAAGGAAGAACAGTCATCTTTTAAACTGGATTCTTTTTTTCTACTTCCCTCTCCCTAGAGGGAGGAAAAACCAGTATTTGTGCTGCTTTCCAAGTCCTTCTATAGAAAACACATCCATCTCAGGAGTATGAAGGACCTTTCCAGCTAACTAAATTGATCAACAGACTTCATGCCAATGGAACAACAGTGAAGTATTTTTAGTGGAATACTAAGTACCTCCATGGTTGGGGAGATACTTGGAGAGAGTCTTCTCACAGTCCTCTCAATTCACAAAACACCTGAATGATTACATGTTGTATTTCATTCATTAATCAGGAAGATGCTGTTCCCCAATTCCTTGTTACAAATATATACCATTTTAACACAGAGACAAATCCAATTTTAAGTAAAGGACAGAAAGTTTTAAAAAACTAAATAGGTTATTTTAACCACTGGGGAGTCTCAAAATAACTTCTTGGAATAAATTTCAGAGAACTAGAGGAAAGCATCTACGAAATGGTCCTTTCAGTAACAAATCCAGACATTCTGGAAAAGATGGTGTCAAAAGTCCAGGGTCCCTCAAATCTCCCTTTCCAAAACCAAGATATGAACAAAGAAAAGTAAGAATAGCAAATATGAATACTTTTTTTTTAAGTACCAATATTAGAATACAGTGGAAACAAGATGCAAATTTTTTAGGGAAAATGTAACTATGGATGATAGACAACCATAATTTATCAAATGTTTAAGGATAAGGTCAAAATTAATAGCAAACTAAAATACGCAAAGATATAGTAAGAGGCTGTCATCGAGCATAAAGAGTTTCTATGTGTCTTAAAAAAAAATTTCTTTAAGAATGAACAACAAAAATTCCTAAAAACAAACAAAAAACACCCAAAAGCAAATGGAAAAAAAATCTATAAACATTTAGGCAGAACAAACAGATCATTTACAGTGAGAAAAATAAAAAGGCTAGCTCTCTTCAGTACCATTAGCCAGAAGATATTGGAATCAGTGTGATGGTCATTTTTCCAGTTATTTAGAGTCTCCAAACTTCCTCCCATCACAGGGACTTTGCACATATAGTTCCCTTTGCCTACATTGCTCTTTCCTCTTGCTCTGGCTTAGTCCTCTCATTCTTCATCGGTTAACTCAACAAAACTCACCTTGAGCTCTCATTAGAGTTTCCTAAGCTTAGAGTTCCTCAGCTGTGATAATTGCATGTAAAGCATCCACAGTGGAACTTGGACAAGAGAAGCAGATTGGGATGTGAAGATTATACCACTTGCAATACCTCTGATCTAGCAGTCATCTTTTTTTCTGCCAACATTTATGACCCCAGGGTGAGCTAACTTGTTTGCTTGCCAAGGATAAAAATTCAGACCCTTCACTATTTTTCATACAGAGTTAATAAGAAGTAGAAGGATTCATTTGATAAAAATAATAGTTTTTGAAATTATAATTATACCCAAAAATAAGACTTGAATAAAGAAAAAGTTTATCATTGGACAAATAAGTAATTTAAAAATATATTTTTTACCTAAATTATTCTATAAATTAAGTGCAATCACATTAAAAACCCAAACTGATTTTAGGGGGGAAAAAAGACAAAACAAGTCTCAGGACAGACTTGCCCTTCTATTGCTTAAAATGTGTTTTTTGCTGTTGTTTAGTCACTAAGTCATGTCTGACTCTTTTGCAACCCCATGGACTGTAGTCTGCCAGGCTCCTCTGTCCATGGGAGAAAACTGTAAAAATGGCAGTAGTTTTGGTACAGAAATAAGCAATCAGATTAATAGAAAAGTTAGTCCAGAAATTAAACTTATATTAAGTTTTCATTTGTTTGAAATTTAGGATCATTTCATATCAATGGAGACAGCTCAATAAATGGCTTGTGGACAAAGGGCACTTAGAAACCAATAAAATTTTACTATATTTATAAATCCTAGAGATATCCAAGACTAATACATACAAAAATTAAAGAAATATTAAGAAGCACTGGAGACAATATAAGTCAATATTTTTATACTCTTGGGATTGGAAAGGAGTTTCTAAATATGATGGAAAACTTGGGAAGTGGACATGGAAAGACTGATAGACATGGCCACAAATGCCTTCATACAGGAAAAGTAAAATCATGGAGAAGGTTGAAAATAAATGAAAATCTGAGGAAACTGTTTGCTATATATGAAACCAACAGAAGGTTAATATAAAGAACCCTTTTAAATTATTAAAATAAAAATGACACTTCAATAGAAAAATGGGCAAAGGACACGGAAACCTCACAAAAAACACAGGCTATGTTAGAGAAGGCAAGAAAGAAAAGAACAGGAGAAGGAAGAGGGGGTGGAAAGAAGGAAGAAAGAGAGAGAAATAAATGATCAGTTATTACAAAAAAAAAAAAAATCCTGAACTTTACTGGTTATTTCCCAAAAAGTAAATTGAGGTATCATTTGTCATTTATCAGACGGACAAATGTGAATAACTCTGACAGTACTATATGTTGGTGAGGGTGTAGAGGACATTTCCATTTATTGTTGGTAGAGTTAGAAATTGGCTAACTTTTCTGGAGGGCAGTTTGAAAATCACTTACAAACTTTATTGCTGTGCTGTAGCTCAGTCGGTGAAGAATCTGCCTGCCGTGCAGGAGACCCGGGTTTGACCCCAGGGTTGGGAAGATTCCCTGGAGGAGGAAATGGCAACCCACTCCAGTATTCTTGCCTGGAAAACCGTATGGACAGAGGAGCCTGGCGGACTACGGTCCATGGGGTCACAAAGAGTCAGACACAACTTAGTGACCAAACCACCACCATTTACAAACTTTATACATGCATGCTTCCTATTCTAGCTATATCACTCCTAAGGATTTGTCCTAAAAGATAATCTGGGAAAAAAACAAAAATATAAGGCTAAGGATATTCTTCAAACATTGTTTATATTAATAATAGTAAAATACTGAAAACAATTAAAACACCTCTCAAAGCAGCCTCAGTTTAGTAAATTATTTCACATTCATAAAATGGAATACTTGTGTGTATATATTAATACATACATGCATCTACAAAGACTATAAAGTAGCATTTACAGTGTGATTCTATTCATAACCTTTTTATATATACAGATTAAAATAAATCTGCATGTGCTTAGGCATAGAAAGAGGTCTGGGAAAGATAATCATCAAAAAGATTGATAGTAGTGGTCTCTGGGCAAAAGAATACTGAAAGATATTTTTGCTTTCTTTTTTGTACCATTCTGCATTGTTTGAAAACTTTAAACCATAGGTAGGAAAACAGTTTAAAGGGAAAAATAAACAATGAGTGACTAATTCTCATTCTCTGAAAGTTTCTATTGGAAACTTTTGTTTCTTTCCATGGCCTTTGTTTTCTTGTTTTCTAATGGTTTGGGCTCCAAAGCCACAGAACTTCACTGACCACTGCTTTAACATCTCAAGTAAATTGCAACAAAAGGCAAAAAGACTTTACAACCAATATTACAGAGAAGGTTGTTTCAGAGCTAAGAAGACTATCCATAAACAGATGGTGGATGGGGTGCTCTGCTGAGCCCCTAAGAGAACCAGCTCACCACCCTTACCCACATTGATACCACGTCCTACAGCCTCTTCTATCTAGCTGGCTACGGGGTTACTGCTCTCTGCCCAGAGATTTCCATTCATCTCCAAAGACCTTCGAAGACCTCAAATGCTGTCCAAGGACATTTGAGCCAAGGACACATAATCTGATATCACCAATCATATAAATCATTTGAGAACTGTCAAAATCTCAAGGTGTATATGACACCTCTGAATGTCTCTGCTTTCCCTTGAGGACCTCAGTGAATACAGATGGCCTCTGTTCACTTCAGAATCGGGGCCATCTTGGAGCAGAGAGTTTTAGTAAACATTAAAAAATTCTGTCCCTAGAACAACATAACATTC